TCTCGAGTTTTATAAAACGATTCTCGAGCTTTATAAAACGATTTCTCGAGTTTTATAAAACAATTCTCGAGCTTTATAAGACGATTTCTCGAGTTTTATAAAGCGATTCTCGAGTTTTATAAAACGATTTCTCGAGTTTTATAAAGCGATTCTCGAGTTTTATAAAACGATTTCTCGAGTTTTATAAAACGATTCTCGATTTTTATAAAACGATTCTCGAGCTTTATAAAACGATTCTCGAGCTTTATAAAACGATTTCTCGAGTTTTATAAAACTGCTCATTTTGTATTCTTGCGGAAAGTTTTGGCTATTAATTCCGTCGTACCGATTTTGACCCCAACACAGGTCTTATCAAAACTCCTTGATAAAGCTGCAGTGGATAATCAGATTGGATATCATCCTTACTGCAAGGATTTGAACCTGACTCATATTTTTTTTTGCTGATGATGTACTTGTGTTCTCTGATGGGAAGAAGCAATATGTAGAAGGTAGTGTTTCGGGAGTTTGGAAAAATTTCAGAGCTCATCATAAGTCTTGAGAAGTCTACCATATATCAGGATGGAGTTATAGAATATGATAGTGTTTCCAATCTTGAGACATTTCCATTTAAAGCAGGTTCCTTACTGGTAAGATATCTTGGCCTCCCTCTCTTAACCAAGAAAATCAATGTCCGTGATTATAGTCCTCTCATCTCACAAATCAGAGCTCGGATTTCCTCCTGGACAGTAAGGCAACTTTCTTTTGCTGGTCAACTACAACTCATTGGTTCTATTCTCTATAGCATAACCAATTTTTGGATTTCAGCTTTTAGATTGTCAAACAAGTGTATTCAAGAGATTAATAGCATTTGTGCGGCTTTTCTCTGTTCTGGACTGGTATTGTCGACACAGAAAGCTAAGATTGCATGGTCGGATGTTTGTAAACCGAAAGATAAAGGTGGATTAGGTTTGCGAAATCTTGCTGAAGCAAATAAAGTTTCTTGGTTAAAGCTAGTCTGGCGGATTCTATCTACTAGATCTTCTTTATGGGTTCAGTGGATATGGAGGTATCTCATCAGGAAAGGATTATTTTGGAGTGTCAATGAGAAGAGCTATTTTGTATCTTGGATGTGGAAGAAGCTATTAAACTTCAGATCTTTGGCATCTCAGTTGTCTAGAGTGGAAATCAAAAACGATTCTAACTCTTCGTTCTGGTTTGACAAGTGGTCGCCTTTGGGGAAACTACTTGAGTTAATCGGGGAAAGAAGATGCACTGTTCTTGGCATTCCAAAAAACACTACGGTGGAAAGAGTCATTCAGAGTTACTGGGCTCGAAGGCACATGATTCCTATGTTTCACATGATCGAACAAAAAATTCTGGCCTTAAGAAACCGAGGTCTTAATTCGTAGGAAGATATTTGCTTGTGAAGAAGAGATAATGATGATTATAAAGCTGGTTTCTCTACATCTCAAATGTGGCATATTATACGAGCACAGTCGCCTAAAGTGATGTGGTGCAAATCTATTTGGTTTTCTGAAGCTACCCCAAAATTCTCTTTCATTGCTTGCATTGCTATGCATAACATGTTAGCAACGGGCGATAGGATAATCCGATGGAATCCACATGCTATTTCTACTTGCTGGCTCTGTAAATCTGAAACAGAAACTAGAGATCATCTATTTTTTGAGTGTGCATATTCTAAAGAAGTGTGGTGCAGGATTGTTGGTAATCTGATGGGTAGTAGGAGGCTATACTAATGGTCTCAGGTGGTTCAAATATTGGCAAAGGGTTGGAAGGAAAAAAATTGATTTTCCTCTTGAGATATTGGCAAAGGCGGTAACTTATGCAATATGGTATTGAGAGAAATCGAAGAAGGGTGAGTGCACCTTCTTTACCAGCGACTTGTTTGATTGTTAAACTAAATAAGTTGATCAGATTCAGAGTAACATCTTTGAAGAAAAAACCTGGTGGGAAATATGAGAAGGCAATGGAAGTGTGGTTTGGGAGGAGAAAAGAAGTTAATAGAGTTTTGTTTACGGTTCCTTGAGACTATAGTTTTTGGAGTTTAATTGTACTAAAAAGCAGAAACATCTGTAAAAAGTTTTTTTTTTAAATAAAATTTAAAATTCTTTCAAAAGAAAAAAAAAAAAGAAATTTGGATTGTAATGGATACAACATGAGTTAATGGATTAGTAATTAAATAAGTTGGGTAGAAATGGTTAGGATTGAAATGATGAAAATGGTCAAGTTAACCCCATCCAAACCATTTTAGTGAAACATTAAAAAAAAAAAACAAAAATTCCAATTTTCCTTCACGATATTATCATCTGGGGGTTTATGGCTTGGCTTGCTTCACGATCTAATCTCCTTCTGCAGCACCAAACCTAGGGAGTTTAGGGTTTTGTATCTGGAGATTTCAGCACCGAATATCAGGTCTGGATCCTCGTGTGATTTCTCTTGGATTTATGTTTAGGGTTTGTGAACATTTTGATATCTGTGTTTCGGCATATGGCTTTGATTGTGTGTCTTGATTAATTTCATTTTGGGATTACATGGTTAATTAGTTTGTTTTAATATCTCATGTAAGATCTCAAGTAGGTTCTATGATTAAATTCATGTAATGGGTTTTGGTTACAGAGTGTGTATGGTGTGAACCAAAAAGAAAAAAAAAAAGAGAAGTGGAATCTGGCAATGTTGTCCATCTCCAGATATCTGTCGAGGAAGACATCTCTTGTCTCCCGCAGTTTCAGACTCATTCTCTCAGCCGACACGCTTCATCGCAGCATCCCTCTTCAACGCAACAACACCCTTACTGCCCCTTTCCCTTTCTTCTCCTCCCGCCGTATTTACGACTCCAGCGGCGGTAGCGGTGATTATGAGTACATCAGAAGTGATGTCAATTGCCCTCGTTGCTCTGCCCAGATGCTTGTCGTCTTCTCCAATCGTCCTTTGTCACTCACAGCCAGAGAACCTGGGATCTATCAAGCCGTTAATTTCTGTTCCCAATGCAAGACCGCTTTTTACTTCAGACCCTTCAAGCTCTCTCCTCTTCAAGGAAGCTTTATCGAGCTAGGCAAGGTCAAGAAAGGGGCTGATGCTGATGATGACGACGATGTTGAGAGATCTTGGAAGATTCAAGGTCTCAAAAATGAAGATGATGATGATGCAGAAAGCACTGGCGTGATGAAGCAGCTTCCGACACCTAAGGAAATCTGTCAGGGGCTTGACCAGTTTGTCATTGGTCAGGATAAGGCAAAGAAGGTCCGGTCCGTTTCGGTTCTAGCTATAGTTTGTTTCCAATTCCCATTTACACTCCTTTCCTTTCCTTTGTTGCAGGTGCTCTCTGTCGCTGTTTACAATCATTACAAAAGAATATATCATGCTTCCAAGTTAAAAGGGTTTGTCTTCCATTCCATTATCATTCTTATATTCCTTACTACATACCTCTCATTCCTTTTTTTTTTTTTTTTTTATATTCTAATCCCAGGTCTGGTTCAGAATCAGTTAACCTTGTTATGGATGATGATGATGATAGCATTGATCTCGTGGAGTTGGATAAGAGCAATGTGTTGTTGCTTGGGCCTACTGGTTCAGGTCTGTGTGAGCTATAATGTTCTTTAGGACTGGAGCCTTTTTATTTGGTATGCTTACCTCCTTCGCCATGCAGGAAAGACCTTACTGGCAAAAACTTTAGCGCGTATTGTCAATGTTCCTTTCGCCATTGCTGATGCCACTTCATTAACTCAGGCCAGTTGCTTGCAATTATCCCTCAGAGATTTTGGTTATTGACTATGATAAATAGTTGCTCGTATGTCATTAGACCCAATAGGATGTCTAACCATTTTGAAAATCTTTTTGGAAAATGAAGTGACTTTTTCTGGATGGTTTTAAGAGGTCATATTACACAAGCCTTGATCTTAGCACAACTAAAACTACTCTTCTTGTCCAGGCAGGTTATGTCGGTGAAGATGTGGAATCAATACTCTACAAGCTATATGTGGTATGACATGCTATCACCTCATATTACGTTCTTGGTTAACCATACCAATTGTAGTGTATACCATCTTTTGAGATGTCATCTAAACTGCTTACTGGATAAGCTACAATGTTCCTACTGATACAAATCATACGATAGTTCATAACAGTTCAGAAACTTTAGTCTTGGTCCACTATTTTTGAATCCGGAAAACCTTGTTCCGCATGCTTGCACAGTATTCATGTTTTATGTTTTGTTACTGCAGGAAGCTGGGTGCAATGTAGAAGAAGCTCAAAGGGGTATTGTGTACATTGATGAAGTTGATAAGATGAGCATGAAGGTATAAGTTTCCTTCACTCCTTACCTTGATCCTAAGAGTATTAATAATGACTTACCTATTTTTCTCGTTCAGTCTCATAGCTCAAATGGTGGTAGAGATGTTTCTGGAGAAGGTGTGCAGCAGTCATTGCTGAAATTGCTGGAAGGAACTGTGAGCTTTTGCTACTTTAAATTTTTTTTATTATTCTCAACTTCGATTGCTGATATAAACAATTAGGGAGTCCTTGTTCGCCTTAGTGTTCAGGTCTTACATGTTCATATATGTATAGTATCATTTTCAATCCTTCGGAAACAAAACACATGGGACTATTCCCTTGTAGATAGGTAAAATTTAGTAAAGAGCTCTACATATATGCTCAGACATTATTATTATTGATTGAAAAAACAGGTTGCTTGTTACTATATGCCTTTAAAAGTTTAGCAAACCATATGGATAATCCAGAAAATGATTAAATAAACAAATTTGCAGGTGGTCAGTGTCCCGATTCCAGAGAAAGGTTTACGAAGAGATCCTCGAGGAGATAGCATCCAGGTTTACTTTCAAGCATTTTAAATAGCACTTTTTGTGACACAGCCAGTCAAAAATAATCTAGTTTGACGAAAAATCATCAAATATGCAGATGGATACAAAAGACATCCTTTTTATTTGTGGTGGAGCATTTATCGATCTGGAGAAAACTGTTTCTGAACGGTAAATTTCTCCAAGTCTGGGCGAAATCGGTTTATTGATTTGTATCCTTTTCTCTAAGGCTTGAATCGCATATTTTTATTGTATCAGGCAACACGATGCCTCTATTGGTTTTGGTGCTTCGGTTCGTACAAACATGAATACTTCTGGGTTCAGTAGTGCTGCAGTAACATCCTCATTGTTGGAATCTGTAAGGAATACCTTCTCTTAACTTCTATGCTACTCCTGCCATTGTCTGATATAATTATTGTAGTTACAAAGTGAGGATCTTGTTGCGTATGGTCTCATTCCTGAGTTCGTTGGAAGACTACCCATCTTAGTGAGCTTATCTGCACTAAATGAAGACCAACTTGTACAGGTACCTTATTTCTACTAATTTTTTCGAATCCTTGGGTGGCCTTTTAGACAAACCCTTTGTCGTTTAGTTTGCCCTTGTTTACAATCAGGTTAAGACATTATGTGTCCTCGGCTAAATATTGTTTATCTTTGTTCCACTCCAGTAAGCAACTGATGGCTGTACGAGATCTTGAGTTTCCGCCAAACCTCTTTTGCTTGAGGCAGCTTTCTCTTTTACCAGTTATAACTCCTTATGGTTCTTTATGTAGGTTCTAACAGAGCCTAGGAGTGCATTGGGCAAACAGTACAAGAAGTTGTTTCGCATGAACAATGTAACTCATATTTACCACTAACAGTTACTTGCATATGCATGGCTCTTTCCTCTTGCTTTAACCCTCTTTGTTAGGTCCAACTACATTTTACTGAAGGTGCAACGAGGCTTATCGCGAGGAAGGCCATGTCCAAGAACACTGGTGCCCGTGGCTTACGGTCTATACTTGAAAATATCCTCACAGAAGCAATGTTCGAGGTATGGCTGAGGAATGCACCCTTGTAGTCCTTGAATCTTCAACGTAAATCATTGCATGTAGGTCCCTACGAACAACTGTGTTGGTGCCTTAAAATGATAAATTTGAATCCTAAACAGGTACCAGATAGCAAGACAGAAGGATCACAGATTATAAAGGCGGTCTTGGTGGATGAAGAGGCTGTTGGTTCAGTAGGATCACCAGGATGTGGTGCAAAAATCCTTAAAGGAGATGATGTTTCGCAACAACATTTTGAAGAAACAGAGTCAAATGTAAGCGTCGTGCAACACGTGCTAACAAGAGTATTTTGCGAAATCTGACACTAATGTTTGATGTCACAGGAGAAGCGGAAGGAGGATGAAACAAAAAGAGCTCAGAGCTTGTAGCTGAACTGATCTTATGAGAGGATGTAAGTTGTGTTAGATATATAATAGGGAATGAATGTTTGTGTTCAGATATATTGACAAAGAAATAAAAATTAAAGCTACAGTTTTATGTGTACAGCACTGTAAAATGAGCCTGTTGGAATGTTCATACGAGTCTATTTTTTTTTTTTGTCAAATTCATACGAATCTCTTCTAAAAATTTCATCATACTGAATTGTGAAAAATGACATTTAAACACTTTTATTAAATTTTCAATTACACTCAAACATTTTACCCATGTGGCACTTTTGTCACTTGCAAAATTATTTTCTTATTCTCTAATTTTGTTAACTAATCTAACCATTTTTTCTTGATAAAAAAAAAAACTAACCATTTTTATCCTCATCTCTCATTTTTAACTCAGGTTACCATCATATCTATTTTCTGTGAAATATTCTTAGCTAGTACTAAATCATTATTTAAACTAGTTGCATATTCCTCGCGCAAGCGCGGAGCCGGGATCATTATGTTTGCGTGTATTTTTTTCGATTGTTGGTTTAGTGGATTCTTCTAATGACACCAATTAATAATGAAATGGAAAATTTCATGTTTTTATATCGTATGTCAAAACTTGATATAATTCTATATTTATAGTATTTATATTTGTATTAAACGATTTATCAATATGAAAATAACCTTNTATGTTTGCGTGTATTTTTTTCGATTGTTGGTTTAGTGGATTCTTCTAATGACACCAATTAATAATGAAATGGAAAATTTCATGTTTTTATATCGTATGTCAAAACTTGATATAATTCTATATTTATAGTATTTATATTTGTATTAAACGATTTATCAATATGAAAATAACCTTAATTAAGTTAATATTCGTTGTTTAAATTTCATTAGATAGGTTTTTATATATGGTTTTTTGTAAGTTTCGGTTTTGTTCATAAATGATGTGGCATTTTTATCTACGGAGTCATCGACTGTGGGAATTCATTCGCCGAAGTCTGGAGTCGGTGGTGAAAAATGTTTTCAATGAAATTATAGTAGTTATTAAAATGTAAGAGAAATTACATATTCATTTAATAAATAACTTACTTAAATTTTGTTGTTTATTTTATTTTATTTCACATACAATTTTTTTTTGAAAAATATTAGGAATGTGTTAAATGTTATTTATATGCGAAGTAAGGTTTATAGGAATAGTTAGGCTGTAATATAGTTTTTAGTGTGTAAAAGTAGGTGTGTTTTTTTTTTGCTGTAAATAGTTTTTATATCGTAGATCAAAACTTGATATAATTCTATATTTATAGTATTTATATTTGTATTAAATGATTTATCAATTTGAAAATAACCTTAATTAAGTTAATATTCGTTGTTTAAGTTTCATTAGATAGGCTTTTATATATGGTTTTTTGTAAGTTTGAGTTTTGTTCATCAATGATGTGGCATTTTTATCTACGGCGTCATCAACTGTGGGAATCCATTCGCCGGAGTCTGGAATCGGTGGTGAGGAATGTTTTCAAAGAAATTATAGTAGTTATTAAAATGTAAGAGAAATTATATATTCATTTAATAATAAGGAAAATAATTAATTTTTGTTGTTTTATTTTATTTTATCTCACATACAAATTTTTTGAAAATATATATTAGGAAATATGTGCAATGCTTTAACTTTTTGAGCTCCTAATCTATATTATTCAACCTTCATTAAGCCATCTTGAAATTCACTTTTTTGTTTTTTTTTTGTCTGTTTGTTTTTGGATTTATTTTTTATTATTTTTGGGTTGAACTATATTATAATAGGATAGTTTTAAGGTTCTTTAAGCCATCCGCGTAGGCAACCACGTGAGACTTGTTTTTTTGTTTTTTGTTTTTTGTTTTTTGTTTTATTATGCGTTTTGGATTTATTTTTAACTATTTTGGGTTTGAACTTATTAAGGTTTAGGGTTTATACAACTATTTTGATATTTAAAACAATAAACCCAAAAAAAACATAAGAACCTTATAAACAAAAAGCCCATATGATAATAATCTAAATAAAAAAAATCAAAAATACATGATAGCTGCGTGGTTTGAACCCACAATCTTGCATACTTAATTAGACACCTTATACCATTTGGCTAAAGAGTATTTTTAACTATTTTGGGTTTGAACTTATTAAGGTTTAGGGTTTATACAACTATTTTGATATTTAAAACAATAAACCCAAAAAAAAAACATAAGAACCTTATAAACAAAAAGCCCGTATGATAATAACCTAAATAAAAAAATCAAAAATACATGATAGCTGCATGGTTTGAACCAACAATCTTGCATACTTAATTAGACATCTTATACCACTTGGCTAAAGTGTATTTCATTGTTTGTGACCATCTTACCAAGACTATGTGTGTTTAAAAAACATTTTTATGATGATGACATTAATTGGTTTATGCATGAGAGCAGTGGGAATTGAACCCATGTCATTGGCGACCAAACATGAGGTCTTAGACCACTTGGCTCAATTGATATTCTTTGTTTGTAGCCATTTAAAAAAACTATCTATTTTAATATAAAAATGTGGGACTCATAATCTGCCTATGTAGACACCTTAAAGAGCCTTTAAACTGAATCATTATAATATAGATTAGACAACAAAATGTATATATTTTATCAGTCAAAATAGTTTAATTTGGTATACATGCTTAGTTATATAATATGAATAGATAGATCAATTTTATAGCATAATTTATTAAAATGTCCCAAATGCATTAGCTTTTTGTATTTATCCAATATTAAATGAAAAATATAAAATAAGAACTGTAAAAAGAATGAGATAGATAATTATTTTTAACGGTAGCATCTTATACAATAAAGTAGGCTTCTCTCCCTTCTCATGCATCCACATCAGCATTTGTGAGGGGGGCAAAAAAAGCCATGTCATCAATAACCTAAACCAAATAAACCGAACAAAATTTATCTCTCCCCCATTTCGGTTTCAATTGATTTTCTGTTTGTCGGTTATGTGGTTGTTGTTGGGCTGGCTATTTTGTGTGGTAGAGGCCCAANTACAAACTTATCTAATGTCAAGCTAGCAAACCAAAAAAGGTTTATTCGATACCCACATATAAATTACCTTTCAAATTATATTATAAATATTAAAACCAAGCAAAATCATAAGGAACTCCGGTCGGTTAATTTTTAATAACCATAAATTACACATCAAACCACTCAGCATACATGCAAAGTGCTAATGTTCAAAGAATTTTGGTGATAAATTGGATTACTTAGAGTAATAAATCTTATAGTTATGTTACTGAAAAATAATAATTCTTAAAGTTACAAATACAAAGTAACAAATGCCAGTTTTATAGCTCGATTTATTTCATTAATAATCATTCATTTCTTTTGAAAACTATAGTTTCTTCTTAAGTTCTGTATTTATTAACTAAACCAATTAAATTATGTATTTTCATTAAAACTATGATTTACTCCCTCCGTTTCATATTCTAAATAGTATTTTTTTTCAAAATATAGGTAATTTTCTCACATCTATGTAACTCTTACATGTAGTAGATATAATGTGACCAATCAAATAATGTCTATTTTTTATAATTAGAAAATTTTATTAATTAAATACTATGTTCTAAAAACTAAGATCTTTCTTAATATTAAAGCTTTTATTTTAAACTATTGGGAAATGGAATAAGTAATATTATATATAAACGTTTAGAAAAATCTCCGTGATACAAAAAATTAGTTTATCGTATTTTGTTAACTTTTAGTAAAATCTTAAAAACCCTGAAAATAAGAAAAAAATAACAAAATATGCAACTTTAATTTTAAATTATCACTCTTTTCTTACTTCTTCCAATAAAACATTCCAATAAAACATGAACACTATCATCATACAAATTTAAGTAAATAAGTATTTTTATTGTATTTAATTTGATTAACTTGAAACTTATGAATTTGTGTAGCCATAAACAGGTTGCCCTTTAAGAATAAATGATCTTCGGGCGAATTTATATATATTAAAGTATTCACACAATATGATTGAATTCTTTAAATACATTATTGATTTTTAATAGTTATACCTTCCACAATTTTGCTAAAATCTTAGCGCAAAATAGACACAAAAAATAATTAAAAATATCAAATGTTTATTAGAATTTGAAATTTTTTTCAGTTATTTATAACGTGCGTACCCCGCCCGTAGGGCGGGTTTTACCTAGTTCTCAATAAAATTCAATTTGGATTCTCAGATTTTAATACGGTGAATAAACATTCGCTGATTTAGTGACAACATCGCAAGTTCAAGAGACATTCCGAAATTTCGACAATGAAACCGAAAACTCTGGCAACGACATTGCAAGATCTAACGAGACCTCTTTTCCAAAAACCTACCACATTATATACTTTCCTAGAAGGTATTTCATTTTGAATCCTTAAACCATGTATCACCAGCTATACTCACCTCGGACGCACACTGTAACACCCTGATCCGGCCGCCTAGGGCACCGTCGACGCGCCACGTCGCTTGGTCACTTCTTGACCGAACCTCTGAATTTTTCGCTCTTTATTTAAAAATCCGTCTTTAGGCGAGGGTTAATTTTAACCTTAGCTAAATACTATCTTAGTCATTTACTAGCTTTGATAATTTCAACTTATACACAGAAAAATATTCTCTAACTAACCATTGGACTAAATTTAATCTAATACTCGTCCAGTCTAATTGTCTAAACAATTGTCAGTTCACTTAACCACCATTCAGCTTATAAATCAATCTTTGACACGGTTCAAGTCATACTAATATGTGGTTCCATTCTCCTAAACCATTCTACCATCACCCTATCAAGAAACTAATCAGTCCAAGTATTTACTAACTCATACCTTTGCTACATCCACGGAGCTTGTTGGCTCATCGGTCCTTCATTGATCCGAATTACTCTTTCTTGTCTATTGAGCCATTCGACTCATTATGTCTCTTCTCGGTTCTTATTTTTGTTTCTGCATAAAACAACTCCCTATGGTATTTAGTCATTCAGCCAACTATCCCCACAGACCAAGTAACCTTTGAGAAGTCTTCAAACGGTTAATGATATGCATCTGGCCTTTCTCGGCTCATGCACTATCCTTTTGCCTCAATGGCTTATCACATCATGTCCATCCTCTGGACTGACAATGCCCATCAGATCTTAAGTTAATCAT